CAGCGCCACGTACAGCACACGGCAGTAGTTCTTTGAAGTTTTGCAAGCATACTTCCCACGCTCTTGATTGAGAATCTGCTCCACCATACCACTGACGCATAACTAATTATGGGTCTGAGTTATAAATCCAGAGGATTGCTTATGGTGACACATTCCACGTTTTACCAAAGACCTGTTAACATTGCCAAAATGCTGCCAATTCTTTAGAGGTTTTGTGTTCCACGATAGATTTCTACGATAGTTTTGTATACAGAATTACTTCTAAATTTTTCACTTCGGGAGAATTCTGAATTTTGGCTCCTTAATAGTGAGGGAAATGAGACCATTCGACCTTCTCCGAAGCCTGGTTTCGGATGCTTTGATGACGAAATATCTATGAGTTTTGTTATGTAAATATATTTATTTTGTTTAAAATAAAATGAAAAAAAGCTTTTTAATAAAATTAGTTATTATAAATGTTTCAAAACTGGATTTGTTTTGTATTTCTTCATCTCTGCACATCGATATTATTCAAAGGATCTTTTAAACGCTTGAGAAAAACGTTCAAATTTGATTATCGAACACATCAACTTGCTATTTTTTATGCCAATTTTACTCTTTTATTAAATCCCAAACATTTAAAAGAAAATCTCCCCTCTCAAAAAATGTCAATATGGTTAATGTTTACTTCTGGAGAAATGTCAAAAATCTGCTTTATAATCAAAATAACGAAAACGAAAAACGTGGAGCGCATGTAATATGCCCACATACATACATATGTTACTTTTCACATCAATTCAAGTGTATTACATGCGCCCCACGCTTTTCATTTTCAATGTCATTAATTGTTTATAATGACTTTTGCTAAAATTTCAAAATCAAAAGTTATCAAAACAAATTCTGTGGGACTGACAAATATTATTGTATATTAAACAATTTTTTATTTTTTTTAATTTTTTTCTACTTTTTAGTCTTGCCTGTACAAAATTTTGCAATAGATATTAAAATAATTCAACTTGCAGTGAAAGAGAACAGGAGACTATGCAAGCACAATGTTGTTTGCTCACATTTAGTATAAACATACATATGTACATACATACATATAAGCAGTTTATTTCATTTAAAGATGTGGCGTGTCGTCCATTACCGCTGTGACGTATATAAATAGTGCATATATTTAGGCGCAATATTTAACATCTTCTGGCGGAGCGACATCTAGAGTCTTCTAATTGTATCTCCTTGATATGATGCCTACAACGAGGTTGATATCTAGACTAGGATGATATCTAGAATTTTCCATAAATAGCTTTGCTACATTTATAGTAGGTGCATTCTTTTGAGACCGAGCTGCAAAACAACACTCGCTTAAATGACGAAATACACGCAAAGCAACAACACAAACTCGGCTATTAATCCGAGCTCAGCCAGGTCGGTTAAAAAATACGCAAATACCTCGCATAATTATTCATTTAAATTGGTTTTTGTATCTAAATCCCATTAAACTAATCATTTTTTCTTGCCAGCTACCAACAGGGTTGCTTAAGTAGCTAAAAGGAAATTTTACCCGAGTTGAGCGTTCTATTGTCGCTCGCTTACAAAAAATGCAGCTAGTATAAATGGTGGTCTGGACATACAACATTCAAAGCGGTCTGGACATACAACATTGCAAGTTGATAAAAGCGTTGTAATAGAATAATATATCTCAGTCCCATGGAATTAGGTTAGGTTAGGTTGATGTGGCAGTCGGTTCAATTTACCAACTCACTTAGACCTTTTGAAGGTCCATTGTGGTACCACTGCAGAACACGGGAACCTCGGTGACTATTCTTCAGAGAACCAATTTGAGGTTCTTATAAAGCGTAGAATCGGTTTTATTCCTATGCGTGATAGTTCCGTAAGAGAGCTTAAGAAGGGCCTGCCTAAAAAGCTTGCTCTCCTCTTGGCCAAAGCTGGGCAGCTACAGAAGAAGTGCTCTACGGTTTCTTCCTCTTCCTCATCTCTGCAACTTCTGCAATATTCGTGGGAGAAAATTCCTAGTCTTGAAGAGTGCCTGCGAAATAGCCAATGACCGGTTACACAAGCCGTGACCTTCGCAATGTCCTCTCTTGAGAGGCACAGCAACTCTTTCGTCTTTTTCTTTTCTATTTGCGGCCAAAGCAGTCTGGTTGTTCTACATGTGCCCTCCTCTAGCCATAACCTTTTGGCCTCTTGGATCATGCTATTTCGAAGTTCTAATTTGCAGGTTGCCATGGGTATCCCAATAGTGCCCCTGTTTTCACATAGGGGTAGATTCGTACCTTTCCTGGCTAGCTCATCAACCCTGCAGTTTCCTTCAATATCTCTGTGTCCCGGAACCCATATGAGGCTGACCTTGAACACGGTGCTAATATCGTTTAGAGCTGCGAGGCATTCCTGCGCAACCTTCGACCTTAGCATTACCATGTTCATTGATTTAATGGCCGCCTGGCTATCCGAGAAAATATTAATCGTAGTCTTCGTTACGGCATGTGTACTAAGGTACACAGCCACCTCTTTTATAGCTAAAACTTCTGCCTGATAGACACTGCAGTGGTCCGGAATTCGGACGGATAGTTCCAGTCCTAGTTCCTTAGAGAAAACTCCGTAGCCAACCCTATTGTCTAGCTTGGATCCATCTGTGTAAAAATTCAATTCCCCCCGTCTCCATGGTCTTGGCGTTTGCCATTCTCCTCTTGACGGGATGCTCGTCTTAAAGAGCCTATTGAAGATTGGTTTGGGAGCGGAGTAGTCAACTTCTTGGTTGTAACTACCCAGAGTGTGAAGTATGGAAGCGTGACCAAACCGCCGATCCTTCCATAGCACCATACTTCTTAGTTTGAGCGCTGAATCGGCGGCCGCGTATTTTCCCACCAGGTTTATTGCGGGTAAATTGGTAATCACCTCCAGCGCCTTATTTGGGGTGGTCCTTAAGGCACCCGAAATGCATAGAAACGCTGTTCTTTGGACCCTACTCAATAGTTTTAGGTAACTTGCCTTTTGAGTTGCTGGCCACCATACAAGTATTCCATATAAGTGTATTGGCCTGACCACCGAGGTGTATAGCCAGTGTGTAATACGAGGTGTTAACCCCCACTTGATTCCGACCGCTTTTTTGCATGTGTATAATGCAACGTTGGCCTTCCTTACTCTTTCCTCTATATTAGGTTTCCACGTTAGTTTCCTGTCTAATATGAGTCCTAGATACTTAACATTCTCCTTCAAGGATATCTCCACACCCAAAAAGATTAGCGGGGAGACAATGGGAAGCCTGTGTTTCCTTGTGAAGAGAATTGCTTCGGTTTTCTCGCGGTTTACTCCGAGTCCCCTACTCTCTGTCCAGTTCCTAAGCGTGGCCATGTTAGAGCGCAGAATCTCCATTAGGGTATTTGGGTATTTGCCTTTGACGGCAATTGCCAGATCGTCAGCATATGCTGTGACACGGCAACCCCCCCTCTCTAGTGCCACCAGCAGAGAGTTCACCGCCAAATTCCAGAGAAGAGGGGAGAGAACCCCTCCCTGAGGAGTGCCTCTACAGACCTTTCTGCTTATTGTGGTGTTGCCGAGCTTAGCGGTAATCGTCCTGCTGACAAGTATAGACTCGATCAGCACCGCCACATTCTGGTCAACTCCAAGCTCTTCTAAGGCACCCGTTATGGCGCTTGCGTTAATATTGTTGAAGGCGCCTTCTATGTCTACAAAGGCAACCAGAGCGTACTCTTTGTCGAATAAACTTTTTTCCACCAACCCAACGAGCGAGTGCAAGGCGGTTTCCGTGGATTTGCCTTTCGTATAGGCATGCTGCGCTGGGGAGAGCCTACTTGTTGGTATCACGCCCCGTACATAACCATCCACTATCCTCTCTAAAATTTTGAGAACGAAAGACGTAAGACTGATGGGTCTGAAGTCCTTAGGGTTGGTATGAGAGGACCTGCCCGCCTTGGGTATAAAGGAGACTTTTGTCTCTCTCCAGCCTAGCGGGATGTAGCCCATGTTAAGACAGCTTCTTATAATAACCACAATGAACGGAGAGATAATACCCCGTGATTGCTGTAGCTCTACCGGGTGTATTCCAACAAGTCCCGGTGACTTGTAAGGACCAAAAGTCTTAATAGCCCATTCAATTTTTTCGTTTGTAATCAGTCGGTTTCCCAGATCAGATAGCCCCCCTCCATTCTGGGGGTCATTAGGTTCCACCGGCTTGTTTCCAGGGAAGTGTGTGTCCAGGAGGAGACCTAAAGATTCCTCGCTCGTCGTAGTCCATGAGTTCCCTTGACCCTTGAGATAGCCAAGGTTGCATGGCGACTTTCCGAGAATTCTTCTTAATCTGGCCGCTTCCGTGGTTTCCTCAATTCCCTTGCAGTAACTTTGCCAGGATTTACGTTTCGCAGTTCTAACTGCTTTTTTGTATATTTGCTTATTGAACATTGACCTATTAGATTCACGTAACAAGGATAATTGTTTCGACCACCAAGGTGGTTCGCTTTTTCCCCTGTATCGAACAACCGGGCATCCGGCTGAAAAAGAACTATTCATGGCTTTAGTAACCTGATTAACCAACCCATCCAGCTCCACCTGGGTGGCGGGGTCTCGGGGAGGTATCTTTGGCAGTAAAGTCCTTAATTTATTATTGTAAACCCCCCAGTCGGTATTTCTAACATTTCTGAACTCCCTTACTTGGGGGGTCTTAAGATCTATTTCGAATTCAATATAACGATGGTCAGAACAGTACTCTCCATCTCTTGATTTTATGGGCAAACATGTCTGAAGCCAGAGTTATGTCCAAAACTTCCTCTCTACTCTTTGTTATGAAGGTCGGCTCTGAGCCTAAATTCAAGACACTAAGTTTGTTCCCTAGAATGAAGTCTAGTAACGACTCACCTCTAGCATTCGTGTCCGTACTCCCCCACATCAAGTTGTGAGCATTAGCGTCGCAGGAGGCAACCAGTGGTTTGTTCTTGAAGGCTGCTTCCTCGGCCAAGGTCCGAAACCCATCTGGTGGCGCGTCCTTGTCATGGGCCATGTAGGCAGAGGCTACCCAAAAGCTGGTTTTGTCCAGCTCAATGCTTGCCACTACCAGATCGCCGTCACTAAGCTGTGGGAGCAGGAAGATGTTTAAGTTGTTCCTTACTAATATGCAAGCTCGAGTCTTACCTGCATTTTGTGCGGCAATAAGCTTAAAGCCCTTCATCCCAAGTCCGCAGATTTTATTGCCGTGTATCCACAGTTCCTGGATGAGGGCAACGTCGAGTCCACCGGCAGCCAGGCGGACCTCAAGGTTCGCAGACGCGAGTTTAGAGTGGTGGAGGTTGATCTGGATCAGCTTCATCAGATTCTGTCCGTTTTACCTCCACCATCGTGACATCCACGTCCGCCTCTTCGATCTCCTCACCCTCGGTGTCATCGGCGAGGAGGTCTTTTTCGTAGAATAATGGCCCCAATCCGGATAGCCTCTCCGAGTCAGATGAGCATTGGCTGCTGGGCAACCCTTCTTCACCACCGCTGCGCAGGCCGGACTTGTCGCTCTCCTCACTAAGGTCCAAGCTCGGCTCGTCGCTGCGGTAGATTCGAATGGTTGCGTCATTAAACCTGAATCTCACCACCCAATCCTTTTGCGCCAGTGGGGCTAGCGATTCGCCGTTGAGGATCAGCAACACCTGCCTTCTATTCTCTACTGGCTCCTCTATCTTCCCTACCCTCCAATTATGAGTTGGCAGGTCCTTATTACAGGATCTGAAGATCCTCTCAATTCTTTCAGGCTCGGCGGGTTTGGCCGGAATCCAAACTCGAGCCCTCGGTCTGCTAGGAATATCTTCCTTGTTGACGGCCTCGAGCTTGGCTCCCGGCCACACTTGACCTACCTTACTAACGGCCAACCTATAGAGCTGGGCTGACCTATGGTCCTCGCAGGCGATGAGTTTAGCTCTACCCTGATACCATCCGGAATCATGGCAGAGAGGAGGAGGTCCAGGATTTTCCTCTAGGACTTGGAGGTAGATTTCGGCGATCG